GAGACTCTTGCTCAACTGATGTATCTTGATCAACAGAATTTTCTTTTTCTGGTGTATCTTCTGAGTCAACAGATTGCTCCACCTGCACACTTGACTTTTGTTGACTCTCAACTGGARTATTAGTAGAAGAATCTTTTTGTAACATACTTGATTCATTAAAGACAACATTTCTACTAATCAGAACCTTTTTAGTTTCAGGGCACCATAACTTGTATCCGTTTACACCAGATTTGTGACCAAGAAAGATACATTTAATTGCTCTAGGCTCTAATTTTCCATTATCGACGTGAGCATAAGCAGGGCAACCAAAAATTCTTAAATCTGAATAATTTGCTRGGGAACCAGACCATACCTCAATTGGAGTTTTCTTATCAAGTGGAATAGAAGGTGACATGTTAATTAAATAACATGCAGTAGAAGCAGCTTYTGCCCAAAAACACTTAGATAATCCAGCGTTAGATAACATGCAACGGGCTTTTGAAATAATAGTTCTGTTCATACGTTCAGCCACACCATTTTGTTGAGGTGTGTGGGGAACAGTGTAGTGMCTAACAATACCATCTGATTTGCAATATGAATTAAATTCATTTGAACAGAACTCCATACCATTATCGRTGCGAAGCTTTTTAACCTTCTTACCAGTCTGGGTTTCCACCATGACTTTCCACTCTTTGAATGCAGAAAATGCTTCTGATTTATGCTTCAGGAAATATGGCCAAACTCTTCTTGAGTAATCATCTATAATTGTCAACATGTAACGAGCACCTCCAAGTGATGCTACTTGTGATGGTCCCCATAGATCAGCATGTACATAATCCAGAATGCCTTCTGTAGTATGTACTGAGGTGTTAAATTTCACCCTCTTGTGTTTGCCAAAAATACAGTGTTCACAGAATTCCAGTTTGCCAACGCATTGGCCATCAAGCAATCCTCTTCTGCTTAAAACTGTCAAACCAAGTTCACTCATATGCCCAAGACACATATGCCAAAGGTTAGTAGTATCAGAAGATGAATTTGAAGTAACATTAGAATTACCTGTTACTGTACTACCCCGTAGATAATACAGGTTTGCAGATTTAATATCARCTTTCATCACGATCAAAGCTCCTTTTGAAACCTTCAAAACTCCACCTACAGCAGAATACTTGTACCCTTTAAGGTCAAGAGTACTTAAAGAAATGAGGTTCCTTTTCAAACCTGGAACGTGTCGAACATCTGTCAAAGTCCTGACAACACCATCAAACATCTTGATTTGGATTGAACCAATCCCCGTAATTTTATACGGTGCATTATCACTCATTAGTACAGAGCCACCATCTGTGGGTTCATAATTGATGAACCAATCTTTGTTTGGAGTCATGTGAAAGGTACAGGCTGAATCAAGAATCCATTCATCATTAGTTTTTACACATCCTGCAAAAACTACAAGAACATCTCCATTAGAATTATTTTCAGCAGCATAGGCTGCTTTTCCTTCATCATCTTGATTTGGTTTGGGATTTTGATTAGCAGCTCTTTTCTCCTTGTTCTTCAACTTGTAGCATTCAGAGATATCATGTCCATCCTTTTTGCAATAATTGCATGACTTGTAACGTCTGAATCTAGATTTGCTTCTAGAATTTCTTCTGTTCTTGCCTTTTGAATCATTCTTATCTGTTGGTCTGCCACGAACCGTCAGACTTTCTCCTTTAGAACTTGAACCTTCAGTGGATACCATATCTTTCATTTTTTCTTTTGCATGCAAAGCTTCATAAACTTCATGAAGTGTTAAAGTATCACGACTATATAATATGGTATCTCTAAAGTTTGAATAAGAACTAGGCATAGAACATAAGAGAATTAATCCCAAATCCTCTTCATCATATTTTACCTCCATGGCTTCAAGATCAGTGACGATCTCTTTAAACACCGAAAGATGGTCCAACAACGATCCACCTTCTTGCATCTTAAGCGAAAATAATTTTTGTTTAAGATGCATCTTACTTGTGAGATCTTTTGTCATACAAATTTGTTCTAACTTTAGCCATAAAGAAGHTGCAGTAGTTTCTTTCAGAACTTCCTGCAAAATATTGTTAGATAAATGAAGATGGATATGAGAGAGGGCCTTACGATCTTTATGGTCCTTCTCCTCATCTGACCAAGCCTCAGGCATTTTGTCGCGGTTCAACAAAGCATCATCAAGATCCAATTGAGCCAATACAGCTCGCATCTTTACTTGCCATAATGAAAATCTTGTATCTCGATCCAACAATGGAAGGTCATATTTCAAGGTAGCCATGTCGATATAAAACCCAATAGATTGAAAATGGGTATTAAGAAAACAACGTAGCTCTGATACCACTTGTAATATTTAATCGACGATAATAAAGGAAATAAAACGAGAACACCAAGATTTTAYGTGGAAAAACCCTTGCGGGAAAAAACCACAGGCACAACCGATGATATCACTATATGAGAAAAATGAGGAAGTTACAAGAGTTTATAAGTATCTCAATCTCTCTATCGTCTCTTCTCTGGCTCTCCTTCAATACTATTTTTTTCTTATGAATGAATGGAGAATATATATTTGAAAGTAAAACAACTATTCTCCATGAATTGAGATAATAACCGAAATATTAGAAGACTTTTGTCTTCCACTATTAATTGCTTCCGATTAGTCTTCCATAATTTATGCCAAAATGCAGTTGCTTTCCAATTCCTCCTCATGTGCATGGCCAACAAGATATATTAAATAAATCATGGAAAAAATTATTTTCCATTCAGGAGAAAATACGTATCATTCTCAACACTTCTTCAGGTGTTGAATTTTTTACTGCAAAGGTGGGACTTCGATTAAGAAGATAAGTGGTCCAGGCAGCAGCCTCGGGCCAATGCTTCTTAGGAACGTTCTTTTGCTATCAACATAGTCCGCATAATGTTGAGAATGGTCCGGTTCTTTCTCTTCGCCACACGATTTTGCTGGGGAGAGTAGGCAGCAGTTAACTGTCTTTTAATTCCATGTGAGCTACAATATTCTTTAAACTGAACATAATTGTATTCCCCTCCCCCCCGCCTTCAGAGACACATGATGGTTGTACCCGCTTTCTTCTCTACCATGACTTTAAATCTTTTGAAGATGTGGAGCACCTGTGATTTTTCAACAAGGAAATATACCCAACATTTTCTAGAAAAATCATCTATAAACATTGCAATATACCGTTTCCTGGTGCATGATTCAGGAGTTATCGGTCCACACAGATCTGAGTGAACTAGTTGTAACCTTCGAGTGGCTCTCCACATGCTTTGCTTTGGAAACGAATCACGTTGTTGTTTTCCGGATACGCAGTCTCGACACACCTTTACTGGAGGTTTGATGCTAGGCAGGCCTTCCACCATTCCCTTAAATTGTAATGTTCTCAACCCCTTGTAACTTAGATGCCCATATCGACAATGCCACAGGTGCGTGAGATCTTCATGGTGGTCTTGTAGCAAGTAGGCTCAGTAGGTACCACATTGGTAGCAATCATAAACATGCGGTTGGCACTCATCTTGGATTCCATAATATCCCCTCCTTGGGTGAAATATCTTCCACACTCCTTCTTGGATGAGAATTGCTACTCCTTTTTCTTGCATCTGACATGCACTTAGTAGGTTACTCATTAACTCAGGAATATAGTACACATTAGTCATTACCTGCGTGATACCATTGATATGCATCCTCACATTCCTTTTTCCCATCACTTCCATCCTTGTGTTGTTGCCGAGCTTCACGGAGTGCCTATAATCCTCATCAAGATCACAAAACCAAGCCTTGTTTCCACTCATATGGTTACTGCATCCGGAGTCAATAAACCAAATTTGATCTTGTGAGGCATCATCATCAACATTAAAGCATGTCTGATTTGTTCTCTTCTTCCTGATGTTACAATGGCCAATCAACACCATCTCCTCAGTATCATCATCATCTTCAGCATAGTTAGCCTTCTTCTCATGGTCAGGGCATTCATAATGGTAATGGCCTAAGCGCTGACAATTGTAGCACTCTGCCAATGCTTTGTTAAACGATCCTCTTCCCATAGACCTGCCTCTTCCTCTATAACCACCCCTTGATTCTCGTCTTCCTCTAGAAGTAGACCAGTGCCCTTTCTTTACCTCTGCAATCTTCAATGCTTGCTCCTCCTCTTGTTGACCAAGTGGTCGTTGCTCTTGAACCAAAAGTGTGTTATGAAGCTCATCAATGTTCATTGTATCAGTGTTGTTGGCCTGCTCAATTGAACATACTACATAATTGAATTTAGAGGGAAGAGATCTCAAAACCTTAGACACCACAGCAGCTTGCCCCAGAACTTCACCGTTAGCTTTCGTTATGTTGACAATAACCAATAGTCTGGCTAAATAGGCATCAACACGTTCTCCATCTTTCATGGAGAGTAGTTCATACTCCCTTCTCAAGGCATGAAGTTGAGCTCTTTTGACTTTGGTGGAACCTTCATATTTTTTCTTCATGGATTCCCAAATGAGTTTTGAAGTGCCCTTGTCAAGGATGGTCTCAAGGATCTCCCTGTTAATAGCTTGAAATAGAAAGTTTTTCACCTTCATATCCTTTAACTTGGCATCATCAACAGCCTTTTTCTGAGCATCACTTGTCTGTGCAGCAGCCGGTGTTGGTGGTATCCCGTCCTCGATCATGCTCCACATCTCCCTACTTCTAAGAAAATTCTCCATTAGCATAGACCAATGATCATAATAACCATCGAATCTGGGAATTGCAGGTTGGACAAATTTCTCTAATTTGTCTCCGGAGGAAAAAGCCATAGTTTCTTGCACAATGATCTGCTATCACTTGATGCGCCTTTCAATAAAGACAAGGATCTGCTATCCTTGGTTCTTAGCTCTGTTTCTCACCACCCACGATCTGCAATATGGGTCTCTTGAGTCGCTCTGATACCAGTTGTTAAAGCTAATAGATTAAGAACAATAGAAAAATATCAAAGTTGATTATGTTTTATCGAGGAAACAAAGGAGGCTTTATAGTCAAATACAAGCAACGGGAATAAGCAGAATCGCTAAAAAACAAGAACTAAAGACTACTAAATCAAAGATAATAACAGTTCTTGAAACTTCTAGAACATTGTTATTCAATTATTTGACTAAATCAAACAGTAACTAACTGAAGTCAGCTTCCTTAAATCCCAACAATATCATCGTTAAATATTCTCTAATAAAACCAGTGAAACTTTAAAATCGTTAAAATTCACAGCTTCCGCCGCATTGTGCGGGTACACAACAGTAGATTTCTGAAACGGGACCTTATTCTTTAATAGGATATAATTCTTTAAAAAATTAATATGACGATGCCTTTAAAATATAATATAAGTTTTAATAATTTGTTTCATAAACATTGATCAACTCTAAGTCAATTGTTGAAAGTTTATGGTATATAAATATTGCATATTTGAAAATAAAGTGGAATAATATAAAGGGTACATAGGTTAAATTACAAAAACAAAAGGAGTCATTACAGCAAAGCTTCTGGAGTAATTTGCAGAGGGGTTTTAAGCTGCTGCTGCTGCTGCCACCATCACCACGACGGCGACCACCCTCCGATCAAATCTATACTCTCTGTCTGTTTTCCGGAAGATCCTGAATTGCAGTTAAGCTTACTAGTATCTCTACTGACTACGTACTCCCTCCGTTTCGTTTTCCTATTTGCAACCAAATTATGAGCTGTAATAAGTTCCAGATATTCGATTCTTTACCCGCATAACATAATTGGTCTCTTCTTCCGAACTTATCATGGCGAAGAGGCTCTACCAAGTCTGGAAAGGGAGAAATGTAAGATTTCAATTTTCTGATTTTGACTTTGTTCATAATCTGCCTCACCTTCAGATTTACTTTTACTGTTACTCTCATACTTACACTTGTTTCTTTCTATGATTTAATGGGCCTGATTATACCACTTTTCTTGGGTATTAGGGTTTAGTATCTGATTATGATTCCATTGAAATCGACTGGAGTTATTCTCGATTTATAGACTTATCAATTTTTTCACATTTTAAAAGAAGCCGGTTGGGTGCACTAATGCTTTTGGCTAAGCTAGGGTTTGGGTACACCAAAGCTATTAAAAGGCTGTTGTAGTCTTTAGTGGGCACCCTTTGCCCTCCATTTTTTGCATAGTTTGTGATTTGAACCTGTAACCTTCCATTACAAATATAAGGGTTGTGTAGTACATACACAGAACAAATATAAGGCACCATATGTTAGAGAGACCTAATTTGGAATTTAGCAATCCAAGAAAATGACATTTTCATAATCTGGACCAGTTGTGCTATTGCAAATTGTTGATAATTTGGTTATGGTTAAGGGTTCTACTTCTTCCCATGTGCAATATATGATTTTATGTTGCGTAAACGTGTTGTTTTCTTGGCATTTAGATATGAGTTATTGTTGGTTAGATTCACTGCATGAAGAGCAAAGCCTTCTTCTTGGCTTATCGGTCCCTCTTATTTTAAGTTACTTTGTTCATATATATTGACATATTGCCTGTTAGAGACTATTAGGGAACAAGATCGGTCTGTTGCATAGAGTGGAGTTACTAATTTTTGTTTTTTTACACATGATGGGTTCTAAATATCTTGAGTGAACACTGAGAAAAGGGACTCTTAGGTTCTTGATTATCAAATATCTACCATCAAATGGTTATGCTGTGCATATAGGCTATAGTTTGTCATTAGTTATAGGGAACTTTGTGCAGGTAATAATAATACTTCTGATATGTTACTTTTGTATTTTGTTTTCAATTTGGCCTGCTGCAAATTGTATTCTTTTATTGAAAGAAAAACTTGTTTGTTATGTTCTTTATAAAGGAAGGGTTCTCTCTGTTTTGTTGTAATAGACTTTGCTATGGAGTATTTGTGAAGTAGAGCTGGATGCATAAGAATCACAATAGACAATATTAGAGTACCGATTAGGCGTTTCTTTATGCATATGATTGTCTCAACGTTGGTAATGTGGCTTTATTTGTAAATGAACAATGCATGTTGGGATTTCAATACTAATACCCGAGTAAGCATGAACGTGTTCAAGTTCAAAAAATCTTCATGTTGTTGAGTTCAAGTGGAGATGATAGACTTGACTCGACTTGAACTCCCAGATGTTCTAGGCATTTTGTATCTGCCTTAATATACAAAACAGGTTACTTCTTAAGCCAAATCAGTGTTGTAAATGTTTCCTTTTAGTGAATTCAGATGTTTACAATTCTTGTAGTTTAGTTTTGATATATGTGTACATGAAAGATGATTTTTTGGGTATGTTACTTTAGGGTTTGTTGGATGTGTTGCATATGTAGAAGATGGTTACAAATGGCATATTAGACAATCCATATTTAATTTGAATGTGGCTTAGAAATAGGGCATTGATACCGCTTGTGGTTGTGGATGTATACAAATTACTTATCGTGTAGATGTTGGTGATTTTTAGTTTCAAGAGAGGAAGGGGTTCTTAGTTAAGGTATAATACGGGTTAGGATCTGTGGAGTGCACACTCGTACAAGCTAACTTGAACACGGAATTGCTGGATATCGCCGTATGGAGGTGGGGCCAATGGGGTCGCCCCCCCTTGTGGGGTCTAGGGGCAGCGCTCTTTGCGGTTGTCCGCTGAAGTTGAGTGCCCGACTTCAGTGTATGTGTTCAGTGGCAATGTTAGCGACCACTGAAGCTGTTCAGTGTCACTGATGTTAACTGTTCCTAACCGCTTATAGCCACCTGTTAACTGCTGGTAACCTCCAGTAACCGCTTACCTTTAAAAGGTGTTTCCAAGTTTGTTTCTATTGATTTTCTCATGGAACCCAATCCCAAATTTCTAAGAGTAGATATGATGTTCAATTTTTTAGAGTCTTCTAACGAGGAAGACTATATAATATGGTGAAGGGACTTCACTGTAGTTCATTTAAGTCCATGAATTTTTCTATTTGATGGTAATAATTCTACCAGTCCTTAAAAGATCAACATTCTGGCTAAAATATACCATCTATTATAACCTTAAAATGAGAATCCTGCCTGTGATTATAAAAAGAAAAGCCAGTAGATAATACAACAATTTATATCTAACTTAAATTTCATTGATTAGGTCAAAATTAGGACTTAAGGGCACATTGGTTTGACTTTCATGTAACTAAATCCACAGTTCCTATTATGCGTAGGCTCAACAGAAAGAAACCAACCTGAGATGGACACCTAATAAAATCCGATAGTAGTTCTTTGAGACCCAGGAGTAGGGTAGTAGATTTTAATAGGGACCTGCAGCTAGGAGTTGGGCTTGTTTATTAGCAGATTAATGGGACTCGCAACTTATTCGGTTAGCTATAAATGGCTACATCCACAGTAGTTGCTAGGATTTGTTATTATATAATTATTTAACAATTATTCTAGATATTATTAATTCTTCTATACTTGGTGTTAATAGATCTGTTATTCCGATAGATAATTCCTGTGTATTGGTGTTGTTTTCAGAAATTCTTTCTTGGAGGGAGATTGATATTTGGTCCAGATGCTAGGTCTCTGGGTGCCACGTTTTCGCTCATCGTTGTGCCCGTTATTGTTTTCTGTATATTTGTTGGCAGACATCTTCACCATGAGTATAATGCAGGATACTCCATCATTCTGGCAGCAATCATCTTTACAATCTATGTTAGTCACTCCTCTTTAGTCCTACTTTCAATCACCATTTTTCTCATTATAAAAAAATAGAAATTTGCTTGTTGGTTTTGGTTTGTAAGATCTCCTTCATTTCATGTTGCATTTTGATTCATAACAAACAGTTGATTTTTGGTAGGTATTGGTGCTTCTTTTTTTTACTTCAGCCCGTGATCCTGGGATCGTTCCACGTAACTCGCATCCACCCGAGGAAGAATTTTCAGTATCACAGGAAACACCATCCTTACAATTCCCTCGAACCAAAGAAGTTATGGTTAACGGGATATCCGTGAGAGTCAAATACTGCGACACCTGCATGCTTTATCGCCCTCCTCGTTGCTCTCATTGTTCCATTTGTAACAATTGTGTCGAGAGGTTCGATCACCACTGCCCCTGGGTCGGCCAATGCATTGGACTGGTATGTTCGGTTTTCATCATCGTCATTTTCTATTTATTCATCTAATCTAACCATAGTAATAGTAATTATTATCTTGTTGTGATCCAGCGCAATTATCGTTTTTTCTTCCTATTCGTTTCTTCTTCGACACTTCTTTGCATCTACATATTCTCGATGTCGGCTTTGTACATCAAGGCTTTGATGAAAGATGACGAGGGTACGGTTTGGAAGGCGATGAAAGAATCCCCTGCAGCGGTTGTGTTAATGGCTTATTGTTTTATTTCACTCTGGTTCGTCGGTGGTCTCACAGGCTTTCATCTCTACCTTATTAGTTCGAACCAGGTTAGAAAGTTTTCAAATTTAGGCCATGTTTGGCAACCGTAAGTCAATTTATTTTTTGAGCTTATTAAAAAAAAAGTCTCGTGTGGTTAGCTGTAAGATAGCTGATAAGCTAGCTTTTCTTCAAATATTATCTCAACAAGTTCCATGAGCATTAAATTTTTCCTATTAATTATTAAACATGTCCATTTAGGTCATTTTACTTTGTCATCTGATTTCACAGCTAGCTTATTAGGTAGTTTGGCGATCATAACCTTACATTTATCTTATTCTATCATTCTATTCTCACAAGAATTAATTAATACATCTTGGTCTGTTTCAGACGACGTATGAAAACTTCCGGTACAGAGCGGACAACAGATACAATGTTTATAATCGGGGTTGCGTAAATAACTTTCTTGAAGTTTTCTGCACAAAGATAAAACCATCTCGGAACAAGTTCCGCGGTCCTATCCAAGAAGTTCAACGACCACCTACGGTCACGGGTCGGGATGACGGTGGGCCAGAGGCCCGACGTGTGAAAGTAGAAGATGATCTGGATATTGGGGGAGATCTGCTAAAGATCTCTCAGCGCCATAATAGTGAAGGTATTGAATCAGATATACGTAGCAGGGGGAACGATGAGCCAACGGAAAGGCAGTCAAGTTGGGATGATATACGTAGCAGGGGGAACGATGAGCCAACGGAAAGGCAGTCAAGTTGGGATGATATACGTAGCAGGGGGAACGATGAGTCAACGGAGAGGCAGTCGAGTTGGGATATTGCACCTGAAGTTGTTGGGATGGATACGAATGTCGTTGAAAATGAAAGATATCGTTGAAGTTTAACCTCCACGGAGTCGAAAACGGTGTGGATGATGTAAATGTTCGAGAGGGCAAAATCGTCATTTTTTTTACTATGTCATCGTTGATAGGTGCATGCATTTGTTTAATGGTGTGTTCTTGTGGATTGATCTGTTGCCTTCATTCTTTGTGTAAATTAAACTATTCAAGACTTGTGCATATATTTTACTCCAGACCTATTTGTGTGAGATTTACTGGGTTTATTTATCGTTTAGTAATGAAATGCGAGTACAGTAGTTTCTAAAACCAATCACTCAAGATATTCGATAGCTTGATTTGGTGGTATTTATATATAAGCAATGGTATTGTAAAGATAGACATAACGAATTCAAATTTCAAATCATAAAAATAAGACGATTTGCAAGGAATATTGTTGTACATCAATCTAATCGTCGAGTTTTCTCTGATCTATCTTCCGAAACTCCCTCGTGGAAGAGGACCTCGGAAGATGGGTCTGAGCCTCATCGACCATACCACCATACTTGCTCGATATTCTTTTTGCACCAGGTAACGGGGGTCTATTTTTGATGTTCATTCTCGCGTTAGGATGAGATTCACTCATTTGCCTTTGGTAGCGTTGGTATAAGTTCTCGGGAGAGGGTAAAGGAGCCGGGATTTCTAAGGTCGGCCTTGGCCCTGTGCCAGGCGAAGACGATGAGCTTGTTTTCGTCGTCACAAGCTCTTCACTTTTCCTATCGACCTCTGGTTTCGTTTCAGCCTCCTGTGGAAGTGCATGACGACCGAGCAGTGGTTGTTAGATATGTTTGTAGCCTTGATAGAACATGGAAAGTTAAACCAACTGATAAGCCAACTTATGGTTGGCAAATGTGGCTAAAGTGTACCTCTTTTGGAGAAACCGAAGCTACATCCGGATTTTCTGTAGTTTGATCCTTTCGTCGTTGCTCTCTTGGCATTCTAGACCTTTGTCGTGTCCTCGGCTTTCTGGGCCTGCGATGGAAATGGGAAAATGACCAAGTAAAAATACGTTTTCTAAAATAAAAATGTCAAAGATTCGATGAGCTTACTTCTTTCGCTCGCTTGTTTGATCCAAATCATCGTCGTCGACTTGAATCACGGGCAAACCAGTAAGATCACACGCCCACGGGCTCGTGTGGAAGAACTACAATCATCGTATATACAGTTCAATTCGTTTTTAGTTTCCAACATTTTGATATCAATAAGAGGTTCGGTGCAGCTGGTACCTCCTTCTGGAGAGCAGAAGCAGCGGAACCCCGATAAGCAGGATCTAGAGCGAGAAGTACGGTTAAAAGTCCCAATGCCGATCTCGGGTAGTCTCTAAAAGCTTCTTGAAGATTCGGTTTGTATGAATGTGGCGGTCTAAACGTCGTTGACAACTTGAGTTTCTTCCAATAATCTTCCGATGGTGTCCCGCAAAGCTTGAAAATCTTATGAAGTTGCTCGACCTGAATTCGAATAAACTTCCGTCATGATCTCATTTCATCAACAATTCACGAGGTAGAATTGATCTGACAAACATCATGTCAATTCTACCTCATATCAGATATCAAGATTTTGTTATTTTTGACCGGGTCGAATGATTCTACTTCCGATCAAGATATATACAGATTTGAGTTCACCTCGGTCCTCCCGGGCATAATGGGCCTTCCAGCAAACATTTCGGCCAAGAGGCAGCCAGCGCTCCAAAGATCGATACCTGGACCGTATCGAGTTGCACCTAAGAGGAGCTCGGGGGATCGATACCAAAGTGTGACCACACGGTTTGTGAGGGCGACTGGTTTGTTGGGATTATAGTAATTCGCAAGTCCGAAATCAGCTATCTTTAGCATCCCGTTTTTATCGATCAGTAAATTCGATCCCTTGATATCTCTATGCAAAATCCCTCTTTCGTGACAGTGTTGAAGCCCCGAAAGCAGTTGTTGCATGTAAAATTTCACCTAAACATGATATTCGTTATATAACAAAAGAATCACATGCGTCTTAATAGAGCTTTAAGTTCATAGGAACAAAACGGTGTTACAATAAGCTGTTATGACGAATTTATGTGACCTAACAAGTTTTAACTACGAAGTTGGACAACTTAATAGAATACGAAAAAGTAAATCGTCTTATTAACTCTTTTATGTGACACTTTTGAAAATGGTCCGATATGAAAGTTGTTAGGACGATTTACTTTTTGTGTCATGTTGGTCTGTATAATCTGTTAGGTCACAAGATTTCGCCCTAACAACTTATTGTAACACATTTAGATAGTTCAACACAATTTATGATCCTATAAACTTGAAGTCTCATTAAGTATCCTGTTAAGACGTCCTAAATAACCAATTTTGTTGTGAAAAAAAAAACTAGGAATTTTATTCGTCGGGAAAAAATCCGTTGCAATTGATAGCTATTTGTACGAGGTTTGTTAATAGAATTGATAAGTTTTAAGTGAAATATCGAACCTGCGGCTCAGTTAGCCTTTCATCAGGCCGAGAAATTATCCTAGATAAATCGGTTTGCATATAGTCGAATACTAGATACAGACTGTATTGCATTCGCGACGTTGCTAAACCTTGGAGTTTCACGATGTTGGGATGATCCAACTTTCGCAACATCATGATCTCTCGTGCCATAAATTTTATGCTTTCGGGTTCCGAAGTATCGAAACGGACTTTCTTGAGAGCTACAATTTTCTTGGTTTTGCGATCTCGTGCCTTGTATACATTGCTGTAAGTCCCCGATCCGACCTGTAATACGATAGAAAAGTGTGGTGTCACAAGGACATTTTTTTGGTTTTTCTTTACAAATATAGCAGTTTATTTAGATTTACGTGTCCTGCGAAAACGTTTTCGTATAGATTACAGGTCTGTTTACATCTTAAATTCAGACATTACAACAAAATCGGTTTTATATGACATCAGAATATGAACACCTTATAGTAAGTTAGTACAATGATTTCAGACAAGTTTTTAGGGTAGCTTAATAAAAGTCAAACTTCTTAGGATGATACAGAATACTGTATTGTATTGTTTGTGAATACTTATAAAAGAGTGATTCAGCCATGTTTGACGTTATATTGTTGTAACAGATACCTTATCAAGCTTATCATAAGCATCTGCACTCTTTGGAAGCAAACCATCAAGAGCATCTTTAGGAACATTATCAGTGAGCCATTTAGGCCAGCCATCCACCAGATCATGGGACACCGAAGGTCGACCACCACCCTCACCCTCCACCGTCTTCTTCCCTTCTTTCCGATTACTCCGGCCACCACTGGAAGAAGAAGACGACGACTTTCTGACATACCCATTCTCCATTTTCAATTTCTCAAGACCAACTGGATGAGATGAATCCATGAATGGTTTGGTTGGAGCACAACCCATATAGATGTTGAATTGATGTATGACAGACTGTTTGGTGGTGAACTGAAGGTGACATTCACAAGAAAAAGGAGTTGCAGAAAACAAAACATCTGGTGATGAAACAAATGCAGGCTTTTCAGGGGTTCAAATCAAAGTTGCCGGCCTTTCATTTGCCGGCCGCCCATCAGATCCCTTTCCAAACACACTTGTTTCTTTATAATCTTATTTGTCGTTTACACGGTTTATTTCGTCACTAGCTGTTGTCGACTTAACAAGAAACAACACAATATGAAATTTCAAACAACGATTTCCGCTCTGGTTTCCCAAAATTCGTGTGTATTTTTCTGTTGAGAGTGAAGGGTGCAATCTTGGATGTACACGAGACGATTGAATTTCTTATAACTTAACACGGAGGAATATATGTAAAATGCAACAAGTAAAAGTAACTTGCGAAAGAAAGAGAGTTGTAACATGTAGAAAGAAATCATTCGAGATCTACGATTCCGAAGTTGGAGAGCAGGATCTTCACTTGATCGACAAAGTCTGATCCAGTTGCATACTCGGTTAACATCCCAACTGCGAATCCGAACATCGCCCATCTGCTCCATCCAAGAAAAACATTAAAACGTAATCTTTGTCTTGTCTTTATGTACAAACAATAAAAATACCCCCCCGCCTTAGAACGAGAGTCGGGTTTTTGGATTATCCCGATACAGACTTCATGGAACTCGAGGCTTTTAAGGGTCGAAATATTGTATTCATATCCACAATCCAAGATTTTATTGAACCACAAACCCATATTTTCTGGTAAAATGTAAACTAATAAAAGCCTAAACTAAGTAATTTAGCAATAGAGTTGTTTACAATTGTTTAAAATTGTGTAGTTGTCACTTAATAGTTCGCAGTCTCTGAATCGCTGAACCTTGTTTGGCAAAAAAAAAAGTGTCAGCCTCTTAATGGTTCTAAAACAGTAAAACCCTCTTCATGATTCTATATCATGAGCCAGTTAACCATTCAGCACCCTCATTTCATAGTAAACACTTACCGAACAATTATATTTCATTTTGTAATATCATAAGAGCCTCTTAATCATACCAATTAATCAGAAGCGCTAAGGGATTTGGACCTGGTATGTTGTGTGTAATCTTATAAACCCTAATTGTAATATTCCAACACAAAGACGTCTAGATTATTAGACCCAAATCAAGATTCTATAAAATCTTCAAGGATAATACAAATTTAGAAAGAGGGGTATCGTATTGAACGAACCTGCCATTGGAGATTTCGTTTTTGCCAATAAATCCAAAGAAAGGGCCTTGATTAGCAGCATCTTCAAGCTTCTTTTGCTTAAAATACTCCTGAAGCTCTTTCGCCTTCTGTCTCTGAAACTCCATCGTCACTACATTCTGACCAACAACCGCCGTCGTATCCGGTGGTGGTGGTGGTGGTGATGATGGTGGTGTGAGAGGTGCAGGTCTTACTGGTGGGGTAGCAATGGAGGGTCTTCTCAAAGGGCCATCAGTCTGAGAGCATCTTATGGTAACTACAGATCGCTTGCTTGCACAAGATCTAAATCCACCAGCAGTTGATGATGATGGTGATGATGGATTTGAAGATGAATCTGTGATTCTTATGTATTGGAGTGAAGCTATTGACATTTTCCCTAAATTTGTTGGTCTGTTTTGGTCATGAAAATGGATGAAATGGCTAAAAGAGTGTCATCATAATGATCCAAAGAGTGTGTGTGGATCAGGGGTGGCCAAGTCTTCAACAAATATATCAGTGGAGTTTTAGCCACCTACGGTTAGGAATTTCTTTTTATAAAGGGGGTGTTTGCGGTTGCTTATAAAAATAATTTATTGACTTATTTTGGTGTAACGTCGATAATAAATATTTTTAAGTATTTGGATAAATAATGTATATCGGTGTCAAACCGATAATAAAATGTTTTTGAAGAAGTTAAAACACTTTTGATTTATAATAAGTTGATAAGTACATTTATAGAAAAACATAAATTGTTCAAATAGGCAATAAACAAGATTATTCCACTATTTTTCAAATTATAAATTGTATTATTTGTTCAAAAATATTCCATTTATTAAATTATTTTTAATACAAGTCAAAGAATTTCTACCATGCATGTTCCTTGCTAATGAAACTAGTCTTGTTCTTCGTCTCGAATGAAATTCTTTCCATCAAAAATGGTTAGATTTCGATGTATATTTTCTCTCTAAATCAAACCAAACAAACTTGGAGAATTTCAAAATAAATAAAAAAAAAAGATAAAAATATACACACATTCGATCATTCACATTCTCGTTCTATCTCAATTTTTGTTATTGGCATAGCCTCATCTATACTATATTATAAAATATTTGACAAAAACTCTTAGAAACATTTTTTTATGCATAAAGTACTATTTATTAATGTATATTACTTAAAATTCAATATTACAAGTAAATTGTGCATAAGTACAACTTATTAAAGCTCTATGTTTGAATTCGTATAACTAACTACGGATAAACATAATCAAATAAAAAATAAACATCTCATTTTAAAATATAAAAAATCTAAAATATAATTAGGATAATTATTGAGTTATAACAGAATACTTAATTATTATTTTTATAAAAAAAATATTATTAAACCTAAATTAAGTTACTTCGTTACGTTAAATTAAATTATAATAAAAATTTTGAATTAAAAAAAATAAACAAACAAGAACTTTTAATTGGATAATTTGGTACTAATATTGATATATTTTTTGCAAATTTTATATGATATTTTCAAATTTATATTTTATTCAAAAATAAAAACATTATCGTTTTCTCAAAACCACATAAAATCATATTATATCAACACGGATAAAAAATAAAACGAAACATTGAAATGGAATTGTGTCTCGATGCATTGCACGAGTACCCTTATAGTGTGTATATATATATATATATATATATATATATATATATATATATATATTCACAAAAACACCTATTTGGTTTGATTTCTACATATTTGTTTACCCAAGAGAAAGAGAAAGAGAAAGAGAAAGAGAGTACTAGAAAACTATTTCAGATTAAATTTCTAAATTAACAAAAATCACAAAATTAATCAAATAAAACCACCGCGTTAAAGAACAAATTAGAAAGAAAACAAAACTGGAATATAAACACAAGTCACTCACTCCTTACCAGTTACTACTACCATATCATATCATATCATCACAAGTTGTTCATACAACCACCCCCATCATATTTCTTTATTGTAAATGACAAACATAGACTCTCTCTCACACACAATCACACACACACACAACGTGTGTGTGTGAGAGAGAGAGAGAGAGTCCAACGTCCATCATCTACAACAAATCTGATTGGTTGGTTGTATAAATGTCCATCGCTATGTGTTTGGTTTGGTGTAGCTACAACTTGAAACTACATAATCCTGCACGAACATGTTTTCCCGCTACTGTGTTCAAACTCATCATCTGAATCACTGTGTTCACTGCAACAAAAACAATATTACAAGTTACAAAACATCATCATCCATAAACACAACCAATGGATGGTTGTTTGTTTGTTGTCTGTTTATAGAAGATAGATATAATATAAGCCCTGAAATCTTGAACAAGAAAGATGAAAGCTTTCTCCATTAAACTTCAAAGAAATTGCTATCATCCTTGTGGGATATACATATACTAAGCAGTCCAAATGGAGTTTGATTTGATATTGATTCTAGGTAGAGGCTGTTTGGCAGTTGCTTAATGGTTTTGTGTAGAATCATTAAGTGGTCAAAATGATTAAGAGGCTCTCATGATATAGTGCAAAATGAAATATAATTGTATACAATGAAATTAGAGCTCTTAATGGTTAAGGGAGGCCCAAGATACAAAATCATTAGAGGGTTTTAGAACCATTAAGAGACAGATTTTTTTTTTTTGCCAAATAAGATTCACCTCTTAATGATTCAGAGATTGCCTCTTAATGGAACTATTAAGAGGTAAACAAACAAACCCTCGAAACGACATCTTAGTCTCTTGAGACAGAGATAAGGTCTTGGTACATCCTACCTTCAAAACCCTACATAAAACATGAAACTTTGACACTCTGGTAGTCTTAAGAGGAACTTGACCTAAATACAAACCTCAAATTGCTTGAACTTGCTCCTTTATCGTTGTCTAGTTACTAGTGCATAGCCAAATGAGTCCAAATGGACAAGGTAAATCCAACATAGAGGTAGGGTCAAGGGAGGCTAAGATGTACATAGACGTTACCTCGGGGTGGAAAGGTTGTTTCCACAAGGATCCCCATCTTGCAAAGAAAATAGATTCTTGTTATTTGTGCATATCTAGAGCTAATATGTAGAGATTGAACTATTCTTAAAAGCACATTCACGATAAATTACGACGACTTTCTTGTTTGGATCCTTTTCTTTAAGATGGTGATGTCTAGCAAGCACATTTTGCCCAACTAGTCCACAGGGTCCATGCAACGAGTACGCATCACCCCTAAGGCTAAGGGTTGATATTGGGATGCAAACTTGAGATTTAATGGATATTAAGGTTTGAATTGGCTGCCATAAGACCATGAATGGTGACACTTTCTGTGCTGAAATGGTTTGAGGATCTTTCTTAGCATTAACTATTTCGATGTTGAAAATACAATGTAATGATCTGATACATCATGGCCAGCAAGAAAAAGTGATGCAGATAGCCCGCACTGGTTTGTTATTAAGCAGAGATGTTACACTGCTCTCACATGTAGTTTAGTTTCCACGGTTTTTGTGAAGGTTAGGGCAACCATCTTGAAAATTGTAGATACGGTATGTGATGCACAGAAGGCCAGTTAGTGATATTGGTTTGGATGTATCAGGTGAAATAGTATGATCAGAATATCACATTAGAATGCTTTGAACTTGTATGGGCAACTGTTTTGAACTTTAAGGGCCTGTTTGGTTTGCGGGCTGTCGTGGGATTTGGAATTGGATTCCATTCTAATCCCGCATTTAGTTTAAAAGTGAAGTGCAACTAGTCCAGCGGGTTCATGCACACATGACCCTTAAGAAGTTGATAGCAGCTGGTGGGACAAGAACCTGAGATTAGATGTTTCATGAGGCAGAGGCACCAAGTCCTAGTGAGTTATACTGCTAGCTCAACCTATCTATATGATTCAAGAAGATGTGAAGATGCAATCTTGGGTCCTACTAACTAAGACAAGACTTTTAGAATTCTGAATGGAACCTTTTAACATTATCCACAAGCTTTTCCTCATAAACTCGTATATATGTCCGTTGCAGCAGAAATTCAGTATCATTCATGTTCAGAAAGATTACATATCAGTGACAATCACAAAGGAGATGAAGAATTGGCCATTGACATATATGAAAGAAGCAACTAATAAGTAATACCATCTTTCAATCCTACTGACATGATATAAAAGCATGATCATTCATACATACCTGGGTTCAAATTCCCGAATCTCAACAAGTTCTCCTCCACTAACATCTGTCCATTGCACGCTCCTTCTATCTATTTGGCCCGGAGCATTTTCAACCTCATCACCATTATTAACCCCACCTATGGCAGGTCTCTTCAAGCTGCTTTTAAGACAAGTTACATTTGTGCTATTACCATCACCACCCACAAAATCTGAAGTAGGAAGGGTTTCTTCGACTTTTTCTAAATCACAAGATGCTTTAAGAACATGTTGGTGGGTGGGTCCGATAGAGGGGCTCTCAATTCCTGCAGCAGAGTGACCAAAGCAGGAAAAGGAAGCACACCCGCAGACACAACGCTTGTTATTGGCAGCCAGTTGGTGATCAGGATCAGGATCAGGATCGGATTCTTGGTCCACCAAATGATATTGATTCCACGGTGTAACTCTCATGGGTTTCTCCTCTTTTTTATGACCCAATAGCAAAAGGTTCAAACCGTTGCTATACCCCGAAGCTGAGGAGGAGAAAAACCTTCCTCCTTCCACTGCTAATAACATCAGTTCTTCTCATTTGGGCACACCATAAATCTTGTCTTTATCCAGAACTTCTCTTAATCCCACCACCTTCAAACTACCTGCAATCACCCAAAACAGGGAAAACAAGAAATACAACAGGTTATTTGCGAGGTTCAACAATTCAACTAAACAGATAAGTGCATGAAGACAGAATAATTCTAGTCCTTCACCATCAAATTTGGGATCCATGAACAATACTGTGTTTTTTAAACACAAACAGCATAGGATCGAAAACCTGTTATCATAACCAAACCAGTTGGAGAAAAAAAGTGATGGATGATTTCATTTCATGTATTTATTCACGGAAGAACAGAATTACTGTTCATATATTGCAAAAAGCATGAAAGCAACTCTCTGTTTACCACTGGTGAGAATGCATTTAGACCCAAAAAAGAAATTCAGTTCTTATAAAATTAACTTGATTGAGGTACTTTAACGATCACCCACAAAATGGAAGAACATAAATTCAGAGATGGGTTGGCAAACAATCATCGAGAACAGAAAAAGAAAGACTATCAAGAACAACATCGATTGCGAACGAAGATCTAAAACACAAATTCAGATTCAATCCCAAATTCAGAACAAGAAAAGAAAACAACCCACATACATTATATGGAAAACCCAAGATCCTAATTTGTTCAGAGTGAAAGAAAATACCTAAAGAACTCGAATGTCTTGAAAGTTTACAAATTTAAAAAAAAAAATGGACATTTAGTGGAGGAAAAATAGGACTTACGGATCTGAGAATGATTCCAGCTTACATGTGTTTACCACCTTGCCGGAGTTGATAGCCGGTGGTCTAAAAAATCACCGGAAAATCGTTTGAAAGAAAGACTGCGGTGTGTGTGAAGGTTGAGAGAGAAGTGAGAATGGAGGGGGCGAATTCTATGAAAGCTTTTTAGGATATAATGGTGGCAACCAAATCAATTAATTATTGCTTCGTTTATCAAAATGATTTGACCTTCTTTAAACCACCAACCCAACTCAACTCAAATGGTGTAACTTCCATCAAATATACAAAATTTCTTCGGCTATTGCTATAAAGATTCTTGTTTGTATATAAAGTCAATGCCCACAAACTAGAAAGAATGTCTCAAAAATAATATATATATATATATATATATATATATATATATATATATTTGTAGTTGGATCTTTGAAAGTCGCAATCTTTATAAGCATAATTGTTTGTTTTATTAAGGTTGTTTGTTCATGAATCACTAAGAGATGAATTTTGTTTGATAAAAAAAATCTACCTCTTAATGATTTTAAAATTCTTTGAATGATTTTATATCTTGAATGAGGGTGTAAACGATACGAGACAACTCGCGAGCTACTCGAGATCGACTCGATCAACACTCGACTCGAATAGACTTGGCTCGAATGCGAGCTCGACTCGACATATGAACGAGTCGAGTCAAGCTACCTAATACTCAACTCGAAAAACTCATGAGATACTCGATTATTTTATATATAATTAGTTTTAAAATATAATCAGTTTTTATGATAATATTTATAAAATACAAAAATAATAAAAATGTCTTATACTTTTAAATATTTAAACAAAATTATGCATTTTTTAATTATAAAAATTAATCAATTATTTTTTTTATTAAAATCACAATTAAAAAAATACAAAGAAAAACTATAAAAAAGGTTAGTGAATTTGTCCCACGTTAGAAGAGAGATGGTAAAAGAAGGAAGAAAAGATGTTATAAAAAGAGATGGAGGTGAATGAAATTTCTAACTTTGTCTTTTTTAATGATGGAGTTTGAAGTTGATCCTTTTAGTTTTATAAAAACTAAGAGAACATTTGTAAGTTTTAAAATTTATAAGACAAAGACCTTAAAATTTCATAAATTTCAATATGGGTGAGCTTGGTTTAAGCTTGATTTGAGTTCAAGTTCGAGTTCAAGCTTGATTTGAATTGCAGTTCGAGCTTGTTTTGAGCTTGATTTGAGTTCAAGTCGAGTTCGAGCTTGGAAATTGAGTTTCGAGTTCGAGTCGAGTATAATGATACTCGAGCTCGACTCACATCATTTACACCTCTAATCTTGAACCTCCTTTAACCATTCAGCACTCTAATTTCATTCTGAATAATTATCAAACAATTATATTTCATTTTGCGCTATATTATAAGTCTTTCAATTATTCCGACCACTTAATCATTCAACACCGAACCATTCAACAACTGTAAAAAAAAACCAGTAACTAACAAATAACAGGTTAATTTGGTTTGGTTGGATGCAAATTATAAGAAATGGCAATTCATTTGTATTTCATTTTGTAATTTGGTAACAAGAGTTTTAGAGATTGTTATCTAACTTTTAAACATGATTATAAAAATCACTAAAATATTGAAAACCATTATAACAATTAATTAACTTTGTGGTGTTTCAGTGACGATTACTTAAAAATTAGCCACTTCTAAAAACTAGAATAGTCTATTTTAAAATTTGGTTTCCAAATTATAAGTAAATTAAAGTTACTTTTTAACAATTTCATTAAGAGACAACATCTGTATCATTGAGAGTTGAATCATGTTTGGCAAAAAAAAAGTCTACATCTTAATGGTTTTAAAACCCTCTGAATGATTTTGTATCATGAGTCTCCTTTAACCATTAAGCGCTCTAATTTCATTTTAAGTAATTATCAAACAATTATATTTCATTTTTCACTATATCATGAGAGCCTCTTGAACATTTTGCACCAAATCATTCAGCAACTGCCAAATAGCCTCTTATTATTATTTGTTGCAATATTGTTAATTTTTTGGATTAATTGAATTTGTTTATTTCAAAATACAAGTGATAATGCAGAATACCCATTTGTCGATTATATAGTTTAACATGTAACAAAGGGCATTTGACATAGCGGTATCGTAGCCCTTGGCCTTCTAGGAGGTCAGGGGTTCAAACCTCACCATAGGTGAGGAGGGTGTATGAGTTTATTTGTTGCATTTACCGTATATCAATATTATATACTTCAAAAAAAAAAAAAAAAAAAAACTTTGACCCAATCATCATCTTTATTCGTCGTTAATTCACAACAACGCTATCACCAACTACTAAACCAAATTTGCACCCACTTATATTTCGAACTAGAATATGAAATTACATTCACTTGGTCAACGCGATTCTTGATGATACCAAATTTGTCCCTCATGATTTTGTCACAACTTAAAAATTATTATTTGAGTTGTTGTAACGTACGACCTAAAAAATAACAAAAAATTGATGATATCACATTTGCACCCAGTTGACTTCAACATGGCTTAAAAATGGCTCTTATCCCAAAAGTTGTTGACTTACATAATCTCAATAATAAAGTTGATGACCAAAACCGTTATTTTACCATTTTCAAGACTATTTCAGTTGGATTTGATATAAATAAACTCAATGGCAAAGTTCACTGACTTTTACGAGTGGTTTTTTATTTAAATAACTCATTTAAAGCTTTTATTGTTACAGAACAGTTTTAACTGTAAAGGTGTAAAATCATATATGWTATAGCTAAGCTAAGTACAAGTAATAATGCACAAGGTACATACAATTAGGAAGGGTAGAGATGCTCTAAGAAAGTAAAGGAAAGAGCATGTTAGGGGGGAATAATTTGCATGGTCTTCTTTATGCTTTTTTATAAATGGGTAAAGGAGACCTTTGACATGAATTTTTAAAGTATGGTGGATTCATGGAGGTTATAATGGCATTGTCAACAAAAAAAAAGGCCTAAAAAGAAAGGTGCTCTTATTCCAAACTTCTACAAATGCTTTATGTCATTTAATATTTGTAAAGAAGGATCAAGACACTCATCACATATGCAATAAACACAACAGATTGGTTTGAGCTTTGTTCCAAAGATCAAAAGTACTAAGAAGTCACAAGTTCAAATCCAAAGAGAAATAAAAATCCCCTTATGGCCACGGAGGTTTAAATGCGGTGACTCCAGGCTAACTGCAAAGCAGATGGTCGCCGAAAAAAAGAACCATGACCGTAAATAACTACTGATTGAACTATGGTTTGAAAATAACAAACGAAAAACAAAAACATTTTGAGAAACCAAGAACCAACCATTTCATGAAATATTCATGATGAATAATACTAAATATATTCATGAATATCATGCATTTGATATTAATCATGATATCCCTCATGGATAATTCATAAATAGTTGGTTTTAAAAATACATAAATGAAACCACAAGGGTGGTGCCTGATTGGTTTGAGCTTGGCTCCAAAGGTCAAAAGTACCAGGATGTCACAGGTTCAAATCCAAGAAGAAATAAAAATCCCCTTGTGGCCATGGAGGTTCAAATGCGGTGTCTCCAGGGTATCTGTAAAACAGGTGGTTACCCTAGGATTAGTCGGCTCGGATAACGGGTTGGATATCCAGGTTAATTAAAAAAAATACATAAATGGATGCATAGACATATGTAGGTGAGGAAAAGGGCATGATTTGAATCATAAAAGATGAAAGAGTAAGAATCCAAAAGGTAGTTTACAAATAACATGAAGAATATAACTTCTTTCTTGGATTGCAGAAGGAAGTGAAAAGTAGTTGTTAATCATGATCTGCATGCATGTCCATTGAAGAATCAAGAATCTGATTTTCCACCTGGCTGGATATGTGATAGTTCTGAAGGCTGCGACGAACAGGGCTCGATAAAGCATTCGAGAATATATAGTTCTTCGACGCTGCTTGATCACTAGACGACCCACAATTTATCGATGGGGGATTTGTCACTTGCTGTCTTGCTAATGGTGCCTCCTCCACACATGATGATTCTAGCTCACCCTGCCAACTCAAATATACCCATCACTACATGCATTCATACTACAATCATAACTATATATATATATATATATATATATATATATATACACACACACCCCCCCCCAATACTTTTCCTCATAAAATAGGTGAGCCAAGTACATGGGATCCAAAAGCACAATATGTAAATCATGGTAATCATCAGCACCACCAACATCTAGACTAATTTTTTTTCATCACCATTCCAGCCAATACCCTGCCAGAGAAGGTCACTTGCTATCCCTATTAGGAGTTCCAGTGTAGAGATATAACCATGACTACTGCATCAGTTATCTATCTCCCATTTTCACGTTTATACGGTTTATCAGTTTTCATACAAATTCTCACTGTACATTAGCTGACATCGAAGTGCCTGTATAATTCCCAGGCCACATCTTTGTACAGTATCATGAGTCCTAACATACAACAGCAACAAGCCTTTTATCCCCAAACTAGTTGAGTTTGACTAAATAAAATATAAAATGGTGCAAACAAACCCCAACCGCTCAATGGMATCCTTTCATGCAGACCTYCATAAACAGTGCACRGTTTTTAGCTATTCTAAYGAAAATAGAAGTTTGTTATCTCCGTCTCATTGCATTGTCTACAAAATACAAAATCATTCACACACATACAAGGTAAGAACTTTAATAAAGTGAACCCATTTCCCTTGATTTCTGAAGAACCACATACAACATAACAGCATGAAGATAATGGATATCTCTAACAAACTCACCATATTGCTATATAGTACAAGAGACATGTCAAACCACATAAAAAGGATAATTTGGATTATCTTGCAATTYGTCAAGAACAATCATGACGAAAACCACTGGGGCCAATATTAAAAATTGGAAGGAATATTACATCAATAAAGAATACCCTATTTAATTGTCAAAGAATGTGGACTACTGACAGGAAAAGAATGAATAGTCTAGCAGGTAATAAGACACACTTCAGAAATTGGAAAGATTGTTACATCAAAAAGAACACCTGTTCAATTGCCAAAGAAAGTAGACTACAGAGAAAAACAGGGAATAGTCTAGCAGACAACACAAGACATATTGTAGATGCTCAGAATTCAGAAATTGGACTTCAAACCCCATTAAACCTAATAAGGTCAAATGCCAAAAAGAGGTAAATCAAAGGGCTGATCAAAACAATCACTCCTTCCTAACTCCCTGGTTGTAAATATTTGAAATTGAGGAAATAYATTGAGCTTCCTGTTWATGCTGATATAGATACTTTGARTTTTAGAGTCAAAATACCAAAAGTAGTGTACACTCTACTTGGGCCAGTTCCATCCTTACAWTCATAGCATTTATATGCTTCAGAWGTGTCAACTTTATTTTGAAATAATACAATTTACAGTCATTGACAAGCAAGCAGGAAGCACACAAATGGAGTTGGGAGATTATTRAAGTTAYGTCCCAAAACTTAAAAGGTCTACAAAGAGAACAGATGATCTTAAAATGCCAATACATAACTTGATAACTATCAAGCCAATAGAAGTAGTGACCACCCTAGCATTTCAATGACCATCCAAGCATTTCAGGAAAAAAAAATGTKAAAACTCAGGTTGTGATGTTGAGCCTTTAYATCTTGTGATCAAATTAARGAAGAAATTAGCCCAGATCTTGACATATATTCATAAGCAAATATTTTTATTTGCCTTTTGCAAAGTATTGCAAGYTCAGCAGCAGATACAAAGTTTGATGCTGGCAAACAGTAGATCAAAGTCAATAAGATGAGTCAAAATCAAACTTACATCTAGCGAAGGACCAGCARTAAGTAGTTTGGCCCACATACAGCAGGAAGWATCAAATGAAAGAGACCACYAACAAACTTAAACATACAGTTGTAAGTTACTTAACGAATTAAAGACAGATGAAAATCCATGACTTAACCAGGACGGTACTTCAAACTCTGATCAACAGTCTGGATCATGTGCAACCAGCCGTATCATATTTAAAAAAAAATGAATGAGGTTGACTTGTTTTTGAGTAAATGGCAATAATAATAATTGCAAATACGAGAAATTGTAATATAAGCTAAAACAGAGTTAATAAAACAGGCTACAATGTGAAATCAAAGCAAAAATGGCGAATAAGATGCCATATAACCTATCTATCCCAAAAGCCCATGATATGTAAAACAATTGTGCGATCAAAATCATGCTTCGATAAGATAAAGCAGGTAGACGATTACTTACTCGAGTCTCTATGCATGTTGATAATGATTCAACTTGTAGAGTAATACATGACCAGCGGCATTGCCCATYGCCATCATACCTCCACCGGGGCTGAAATCCAAACACCGAGGATACTGCAGTGTCCTATTTGATGGCGGCCAGTTAGAGAAAACCGTGAAGGAAGGGATATGCACCAGCTTCATGCTGTTCTTCTTCATGCTTGAACAAATGGCTAAGATTTGTGCATCACTGTTAAACCTCATGAAATCTACTTTTGTGGTCAAGTTCTCGATGGTTTTTATGGGTTTTTTGTTTCCCCCTAAAAACTCATCCCGGTTATATATGTTTACAATCCCGCTATCAGAACCTGCTGCAAAGATGTTTCCATTTGGGGAAGAACCAAGTGCAGTACCAGTTATACAGCCATCATCGACACCCTTATGGAAGCAGGTCATTGTTCTAAGATCCCAATGGTAGATCTGCCCATCGCCACCAGTGCTCATTAACTGTTGCCCCCCGTTCGTGAATGCTAGAGCTCGTGCAGTTCCGTTCATCTTGAGAGTTCCTATCAATTCTTTYGTTTTGGATGAGACCAATAAGATGTACCCTTCATTGCCAAGAAAAGCAATTGTGTTGGAATCAGGTGAAATCTCAAAAGTTTCTAAGCTCTTCTCGTCCCTGCCAACCAACGGACCGATTTTATCCATCTTCGCCTTAACTAAATCGAAGCTGTARAAGAACTTTCTCCTTCCCGATAGRATAACCTGCGAACCATCCGGTGTGAAGGATGCCTTTCTGATTGGACAATCATCCACAAAGATGGTTTGGATTTTCGTGTTCCTTTTTCCATCTATCTGAAAAAACCTCAACTTTTTGTCTAATCCACCAGTAAGGAGCAACTGCCCATTTCTATGAAACTGTACCGAATTAATCGGACCACTCGAAGGGTCTTGTGCATTTGCGTCAACCAATCTCGAATACTCCAGTAATCCCGGCAACAACTTTGCACTGCTCTTCACAACGAGATCTTGGGTAGTCTGAAGAATACTATCAACATCTCCATTTTCTTGATCGCTGTCCTCGTCSGAATTGTAGTTCCGGTCTTGTCGAGCCCATTCTGTGCTTGGGTTCATCTTAACGTGCTGAGCCCTCAGTCTTGATACATATTCAGAACCCGATATTAAGGTCTCATCCTCTTCCTGTCGTATCTTCCTCAGCCTGTTGACTTTAGCAATATTTATGTTGGTCTTTTCTTCCTCTTCATCAACCCATACAGGTTTCCGTTGGATCTGTTCATCTGTACCAACTATTATTCCATCCTCTTCATAAACAGACAACACGCTATTGGCTGAACGATCAGTAAAGAACAAAGCAGAATCCTCATTTCCGTCATTGTCTTTCCCAAACTCAACTGGATGCAAAGAGCCAAACAAGGCGTTTTCCAGCTTCTTCATCTCCATTTCTTGCTCAATTTCAGCTTGTTTGTTCTCTATGAGCTCTTTCTTTTTCTTTTTAGGCTTCACTACATCCAAATCTTTTGAATTTTCCATCTCTTGCACCACATCCAACTGCAAAGACTCGTCAAGAGCCTTCCTTTTGATCTTCTTAACTCTATCTTTAACAGCCGCATTTTGAGAAATTAAAGTCGCCATCGTCAAGACAGCTGTCACTGCAAGATTGAACACAATCACGATAAGCAACTTATATAGTTAGTAGTTGCAACTTAAAAAACGATCTTCAGAACACTACACCATAAGCCATCATCCTTGTGCTCATTCTAATCTTTCTTTTTCATATTCATACAGTCAGAAGATCATTGTAATGAAGTCACAAAAGGGATAAGCAAATCTTTAACAGTACAAACAAAAAAAAAGCAAGTATGATCAAACAAAAAAGAAAGATTCGACTAGATTCTAGGGGGTGTTTGGGAATGCTTATTTGAAACAACTTATACTTTTCTACAAATTCACTTGTCAACTTATTATTAGGGGTGAGCACGGGTTGGGTTGGGCGGTTTATGACGATTTTACAACCCAACCCAATTACGGCGGTTTGAAAAATCTCAACCCAACCCAACCCATTCAAAAGTATAACCCAACCCTTGCGGGTTAGGGCGGGTTGGGTTGGGTTGGCGGGTTACAAAAACTCATTGGTTCCAGAACAAAAGAGCCAGATCGAAATCGAGGCACATCGAGCAAGAGTACAACACCCTAAAGCAGGACTATGAGACACTGGCATCTAAGTCTGAGTCACTGAAAAAAGAGAATCAAGCCCTACTTAACCAGGTATCGTAGTGGTTATATACTACAACTCGAACACCATCCTAAGTAGTTTCATTCATATGTGAATAAAGATTTAACCAATGTTACTTGATGAACAGTTGGAGATGCTAAGARACGTAGCAGATAGGCATCAAGAAAACACYAGGAGGCTGGACTCCATTGGAAACAGTAGCAGTGAAGATTCTGATGATCGAATAACCAATTCGCCAACCAAAAACGATGCAAACATTACGTTAGAAAGCTATAGCCAAGAAATTAGCGTTCCATTTTATGAGAATGTTGCATACGTTGGA